GTACGGGAGTGATTCACGCAATGGTGCGAATAGTCACGGCCAAAATATAAACTGTCTGCTGGTTCTAGGTTTAGCTCGAGGACGAGTGATCCTGGGGAAAATGTTTTTGTTGGGGAGTCTATGAGTTTTTAACGCAATCCTCTGATATTTCTGATGTTGAATTAAGAGAGGGACTGGATATATCAATTGTGAAATTATTAATTTGTTTGGGATACACCAGTGGGTCCTTCCATTCGACACATGTAATGGTGGAATCTTACGAAATCATAAGAGAAATTATCAGAGGGTATGGGAATTTCTACATGATGTACCACTCAATTGACAATTTTTGATTAGGGGAGAGTGGGGTAAAATGGACACTTTAGACTTTTGTTTTAATTANTAGACGTGAAATAAATGAATTGGCCAGGCTAACTGTGCTTAACCTGGATGTTGAGACCCTTGGACACATCCCTGGGAAGCAGAAGTCCTGGACCCAGAAGCAGCCGTCCTCCAGCTCGCGCCCCAGAACTGCGCAGACGAGGCCTGTCACCACCTCTGAGGGGCTCATGTGGTCGCCTACTAGCTTCACCCGCAGGGTCTCGTCCTCCAGGAACAACTGGTCCCTGGTGGAGCTGTAGTTGGAGCGAGAGGGCTGGGGGATCAACTGGAGTTCCTCACTCATTTCTTTGAGGATCGAGGGCTTGAGCTCCTGGTGCTTGTAGAGGGTCCCTATGAGGATCACTGGCTCGTCGTCCTCTGGGCCGTCCGAGAGGTTCGTCAGTTGGAGGATTTTGTAGTTTCCTGGGGGAAGAAAAATATAAGGCCGTGACTATTCGCACCATTGCGTGAATCACTCCCGTATTATCCTCCTAGACAATGATGTCACAACTCTGCTATTCAATTGAAAACAGACATCATCTTGAGAGACATTTGTCATGTTTAGAGGCTCTAGCACGTCATTTCTCGACCCACTCTTTCATTTGAGCCCAAAAAAACATTCATATCTTGTCTGACATCGCTGCTACAAACTCGGGTCTACAACTCGGGCCTTCAATTGAAAACCCGAGTTGAAGACCCGAGTTTGTAGCAAAGATGTCAGACAAGATATGAATGTTTTTTTGGGCTCAAACGAAAGAGCGGGTCGAGAAATGGCGTGCTAGGACCTCTAAAGATGGTTTTGAACCAGGGGAGACTCCTAGACCCCAATGTTCTATACATACTCCTAGACCCCATTGTCCTCCTAGACAATGATGTCACAACTCTGCTTTTCAATTGAAAACAGACATCATCTTTAGAGACATTTGTCATGTTTAGAGGCCCTAGCACGCCATTTCTCGACCCGCTCTTTCATTTGAGCCCAAAAAAACATTCATATCTTGTCTGACATCGCTGCTACAAACTCGGGTCTACAACTCGGGCCTTCAATTGAAAACCCGAGTTGAAGACCCGAGTTTGTAGCAAAGATGTCAGACAAGATATGAATGTTTTTTTGGGCTCAAACGAAAGAGCGGGTCGAGAAATGGCGTGCTAGGACCTCTAAAGATGGTTTTGAACCAGGGGAGACTCCTAGACCCCAATGTTCTATACATACTCCTAGACCCCATTGTCCTCCTAGACAATGATGTCACAACTCTGCTTTTCAATTGAAAACAGACATCATCTTTAGAGACATTTGTCATGTTTAGAGGCCCTAGCACGCCATTTCTCGACCCGCTCTTTCATTTGAGCCCAAAAAAACATTCATATCTTGTCTGACATCGCTGCTACAAACTCGGGTCTACAACTCGGGCCTTCAATTGAAAACCCGAGTTGAAGACCCGAGTTTGTAGCAAAGATGTCAGACAAGATATGAATGTTTTTTTGGGCTCAAACGAAAGAGCGGGTCGAGAAATGGCGTGCTAGGACCTCTAAAGATGGTTTTGAACCAGGGGAGACTCCTAGACCCCAATGTTCTATACATACTCCTAGACCCCATTGTCCTCCTAGACAATGATGTCACAACTCTGCTTTTCAATTGAAAACAGACATCATCTTTAGAGACATTTGTCATGTTTAGAGGCCCTAGCACGCCATTTCTCGACCCGCTCTTTCATTTGAGCCCAAAAAAACATTCATATCTTGTCTGACATCGCTGCTACAAACTCGGGTCTACAACTCGGGCCTTCAATTGAAAACCCGAGTTGAAGACCCGAGTTTGTAGCAAAGATGTCAGACAAGATATGAATGTTTTTTTGGGCTCAAACGAAAGAGCGGGTCGAGAAATGGCGTGCTAGGACCTCTAAAGATGGTTTTGAACCAGGGGAGACTCCTAGACCCCAATGTTCTATACATACTCCTAGACCCCATTGTCCTCCTAGACAATGATGTCACAACTCTGCTTTTCAATTGAAAACAGACATCATCTTTAGAGACATTTGTCATGTTTAGAGGCCCTAGCACGCCATTTCTCGACCCGCTCTTTCATTTGAGCCCAAAAAAACATTCATATCTTGTCTGACATCGCTGCTACAAACTCGGGTCTACAACTCGGGCCTTCAATTGAAAACCCGAGTTGAAGACCCGAGTTTGTAGCAAAGATGTCAGACAAGATATGAATGTTTTTTTGGGCTCAAACGAAAGAGCGGGTCGAGAAATGGCGTGCTAGGACCTCTAAAGATGGTTTTGAACCAGGGGAGACTCCTAGACCCCAATGTTCTATACATACTCCTAGACCCCATTGTCCTCCTAGACAATGATGTCACAACTCTGCTTTTCAATTGAAAACAGACATCATCTTTAGAGACATTTGTCATGTTTAGAGGCCCTAGCACGCCATTTCTCGACCCGCTCTTTCATTTGAGCCCAAAAAAACATTCATATCTTGTCTGACATCGCTGCTACAAACTCGGGTCTACAACTCGGGCCTTCAATTGAAAACCCGAGTTGAAGACCCGAGTTTGTAGCAAAGATGTCAGACAAGATATGAATGTTTTTTTGGGCTCAAACGAAAGAGCGGGTCGAGAAATGGCGTGCTAGGACCTCTAAAGATGGCTTTGAACCAGGGGAGACTCCTAGACCCCAATGTTCTATACATACTCCTAGACCCCATTGTCCTCCTAAATAATGTCACAACTCTGCTTTTCAATTGAAAACAGACATCATCTTTAGAGACATTTGTCATGTTTAAAGGCCCTAGCACGCCATTTCTCGAGCCGCTCTTTCATTTGAGCCCAAAAAAACATTCATATCTTGTCTGACATCGCAGCTACAAACTCGGGTCTACAACTCGGGCCTTCAATTGAAAGCCCGAGTTGTAGGCCCGAGTTTGTAGCAGAGATGTCAGACAAGATATGAATGTTTTTTTGGGCTCAAATGAAAGAGCGGCTCGAGAAATGGCGTGCTGATGCCCCTAAAGATGGTTTTGAACCAGGGGAGACTCCTAGACCTCAATGTTTCATACATACTCCTAGACCCCATTGTCCTCCTAGGCAATGTTGTCACAACTCGGCTTTTCAATTCAAAATAGACATCATCTTTAGAGACATTTGCCATGTTTAAAGGCCCTAGCACGCCATTTCTCGAGCCGCTCTTTCATTTGAGCCCAAAAAAACATTCATATCTTGTCTGACATCGCAGCTACAAACTCGGGTCTACAACTCGGGCCTTCAGTTGAAAGTCTATTTTTAACGCAATCCTCTGATATTTCTGATGTTGAATTAAGAGAGGGACTGGATATTTCAATTGTGAAATTATTAATTTGTTTGGGATACACCAGTGGGTCCTTCCATTCGACACATGTAATGGTGGAATCTTACGAAATCATAAGAGAAATTATCAGAGGGTATGGGAATTTCTACATGATGTACCACTCAATTGACAATTTTTGATTAGGGGAGAGTGGGGTAAAATGGACACTTTAGACTTTTGTTTTAATTACTCGTAACTCAGAAACAAATTCATCAATTCAGCTCAGTTTAGGCTCATCACAAAGGGAAAGAATCGTTCTTTGTAATGAAGTAAAAATTATTGAATTTTATCAACATTTCAACCCGTCATTAACATTTTTAAAAAAGTCAAAAGTGTCCATTTTACCCCAACCTCCCCTACGAAAGAAAGGGTCAATGACATATAGACGCCGGTATAAAATGATTTTTCTCCTCACCTGAATGACGAAGCCACCGCCNGAAAGATAAAAAGAATGCAGATAAAATTCGAAAGATAGTTCACCCGGGCCTTAACTCGATAAATTCTGTAGCGAAGCGGTAAACTAGTTTAAGTCGATTTAGACTATTGGTCAGTTTTTAACGAATATCTCGGAACCTAAGGAAGATAGCTATGTTTGTGTAATAACCTTTTTTGTAGCTCTTAATTCGCTCTACAAAAAAGGTTATAATGACAATTTCGCTATTTCTCTTAGATTCGGAGATATTCCTCGAAAACTNTCGGAACCTAAGGAAGATAGCTATGTTTGTGTAATAACCTTTTTTGCAGCTCTTAATTCGCTCTACAAAAAAGGTTATAATGACAATTTCGCTATTTCTCTTAGATTCGGAGATATTCCTCGAAAACTTAGCAAAGAGCTAAGTCGACTTGACCCGGTTTACCGCTTTGCAACTGAATTAATCCCACGTCATCATAAGTTTAAAAAAAACCTTCATCGATCCTCAAAAACTCCTCTGAATGTTGACAAGCCCATCACCACCAACAATCTCACCAATCGCAGATCCCATCATGAGCCCCAATAGAAACAAATAAAAAAAAAACAAAAAATGATTGGTGACAATTACCCCATTTCAGTTTGACCCTCTCCCTCAAGGTCCCCCGCAAGCTCCTCAATCTGGCAGTGTAAATACTCCGGTATTGCGTCCTGAACGTCTTCTCTCTGATTTTAAATCTCCCCGAGTCCCTGAGCTCCGTGAATTCCCTGTCCAATGGAACTTCATCCCTCCCGATGTTGTTGGTTTCAGACATCTGCGCTGATCACCACAATCACCGGAGTCCCCTCGTCCAAATTGACCATCAGGAGATGAAAATCGACTGCATTTTTACTGTCACTCATTTGTCTGTTTACACGAGAGATATTTATTGTACGATTTATGAACGACGTTTGATGGGAATGAAAATATTCCGGCGTCACCTGTCGAGTGGGTAAAACAGAGCGGCTGTTCCAGACACTCGGGATGAGCAACTGAAATTGACAAGTGTCAAGTGTCTCGTGTGGATTGATTCTGTTCACTTGAATAATCCAGTGTTTTGTGAATCTAAAGTGTTTCGTCCTCAAGTGAGACGTTTATCCCCGAGTTATGGGTGATGAAGAGGATAAATCGCCTTGCAACCACTTGAGGTAAGGCGGTTATTGTCGAGTAATGAGAGAACTAACCTATCTGTTCGATGCAGCCGGCATTGCCGAGTGGAAAAAGTAGTTTTAGAATTTATTTTGCTACTAAAATCAGTTGTGAAGTAGTAAAACAGGATTTGGATGGAGTTATCGATGAATATCTCTGAATCCGAGGGAGATGACGGTATTTTCATGAGGACCTTTATTGTAGATCTCCATCTGCTGTACAAAAAAGGTCGTTACGAAAATTGCGCTAGCTGTCTTGGATTCCGAGATATTATCAAAAAACGCAGCTTCAAGGAAAACAGACTCATTGCGTTTTCTCAATTCACTACTTGATCAATTAATTCATTAATTTTTCTGTTTACGTTTGGGTGTAGTGATGCATCATGCACCCATAGGGATGCCATTACTTGTCCCCTTTGTATCTTCCCTCCTCCAGCAACCATTTGCAAGAATCACTACCTGAAAAAATGAAAAATCCTCGACATTAACGACTCACCCACAAATTAATCACTCAACTCAGGGATTCATAAATTAATCAATCAATCAAGAATAACTTGCATACCATAAATAAGATGAATCAACCCATGATACAAAACAAAGCAAGCAACAAGAGCTGTTGCCAATTTTTTAGCACTCGCTACCGTAATTAAACTGATAAAGTGTTCTGCAGCAGTCATGGCTGCTATTATTCACAAATTCACTCATAAATCATTGGAAATAATGTTCTTATCGAAACACATGCAACGAGTTGTTTATTGTTGACATCTTGCAGGGCTTCAAGTGAACGCAAACACTCGAGATATCCCTTATTCCATAGCAATTCATTATTGCAACTGCGTGCAGCTCATTCAGACTGATAATCCGCGAATTGAAAAATCGTTTTTCGTTGATGAAAACAGGAAAAACATGAAAATTAATTAGTAACCACCCGCCGGGATATTTTGGGGGACTTTTGGACATTAAAAAAAATTAATCTCCATTTTTTAGTGCAAAAGAGTTGATGCTGACTCGTGGAATTCGCGCTCAGGCATATGACGAGTACGCGAGATCCTCCCTGGTTCTACCAAAATGTGGAGAGAAGTTGTTCGAGCCGAATGGCTCCTGGCTGCAGGAGAAACAGATCAGTACGAATCTGGAGAACATGAGGGACCTTCTGAAAATCGAGAGGGTGAACAGACTGTCGCAGCTGGCGGTGGCAGAGTGGCTCCCCAATGAGAAGAGGGCCCTTGTCACCAAGAGATCTGGTGTCGAGTGGACTAATTATGGGATTGAACTGAACAGGAATCTTTATTTGATACCTGAGGAGGCACTGTTGCTTCTAGAATTGGTGAGAACAAGTATTTACAAGAATATGAGTTGAACGGAACGAGAAAAGTCAATTCTCCTTTGCTTCCAGCATTTGTGAAGTAAAATGCTTTTTATAAAATTTTCAATATCTCCTGAAGCAATGATTTGAATTGGATAAATCAAGGCTTATTTCAAAGTCTCAAAAAATATCTTGAAAATGAAATCAAACTTTTGGAAATTCACTCAGCCAATCCCAAGTTATTCCCTTTGAAAATTCCAATTAAAACATTTTTGTTGATAATTTCAAAGTAAAATGCTTTTTCTGAAATTTGGAATATCTCCTGAACCAATGATTCGAATTGAGTAAATCAAGGCTTATTTCAAAGTCTCGAAAAATATCTTAAAAATAAAATCAAATTTTTAGAAATTCACTCAGCCAATCCCAACTTATTCCCTTTGAAAATTCGTATTAAAGCATTTTTGTTGATAATTGCAAAGTAAAATGCTTTTTCTGAAATTTGGAATATCTCCTGAACCCACGATCTGAATTGGATAAATCAAGGCTTCCTTCAAAGTCTAAAAAAATATCTCTAAAATGAGATCGAATTTGTTTCACTTCACTCAGCCAATCCCCAGTAACCCCCAACTAAAACCCCCAATAAAAAAAATTCCAGAACTGTCTCGAGTTGATGTTCAACGGTCTCTCCCTGTCGATCCACCAGGCCTACGAGCTCCTTCTGGACTCCCCTCACTCCTCCGTCACCCTCCCCGAGTACCGAGTCTTCAGCCACCTCTCGCGCCTGGGGTACCGTCTCCAACGTTTCCACTACGACAAGCCCGAGCGTTCCGAGGACGTCTCCCACCCAAAGAAGAAAGTGATCGTGGTCCCGGAGAACGGCGAGTGGATGACGGACCAAAAGCCCCTCAAGGAGTCCCCCGAGGCCCCCAAGGACGCCTCAAAAATCGAAATCGAGGTCAAGGAGACCCTCAAAACGATGATAAACACGATTGAAACCGACGAGTCGCCAGAGCCCAACGGAAATTCCCAGGACCCCGAAGACCCGAAAAAACCCAAGTCCACGAGGCTGGAGATAGTCTCCGAGGAGACAATGGTGAACCCCATAAAGATCGTGCGCCCTTCAGACCCCTCAAACCAGACTCCAAAATGGACAGCATCAAGGATCCAGAGAAACGTTAAACAACTCCCCCGAAGAAACGACAACAAACGAAAGCTCCAGATCTCCTCAGACAAGAGACCAGACTCTGACTCCCCCCAGTCCAAAAAACCGAAGCACGAGGTGATAGAGCTCTCAGACGACGACGTCCAGGAGATCCCGATAATTCCCTCTCGAATGGACCTGCTGAATCAATTCCCAAACACAGCGAACAACAACAGGATCAGAATTACGAGCGAGTGGATTCCCCCCAACGTGAGCCCCCAGAGGACGATTTACCAGTGCGACAGAGGGCACCTGGAGAGGGTCAACGAGACTGACAAGGCCCTGAGATCGTCAGGGAAGTCTGTGAGGTGTCTGACGCCTTACGACAACAGATTCAGTGGTAACAGGTACCCTGGCCCCAGCTGGAGGCAGAATTGGCCCCCGAATTATCAGAATGGGGGCTATGGGTTCAGCCAGGGCTACAGGGGCCAGTACTACCCTGGGAACTGGGTGCAGCAGAGGATTCAGGAGAATCTCATCGTCAATCAGATGAACACTGGGGGATTTTCGAGTCGATGGTCGTCTTTTCAGCAGGTCAACATCTTCAGGAACTCGTTGATGCTGGGGTATAACATGGCAGCAGCGACCATTCAGAATTCTCTGAATTTGTGTAACAGTGTGATGTGGCAGACGCAGAACTTCTTCAGGGGGAGGGGGCACGATCCCAGGGGCCAGAGGGGGTTTAGGGGGGCTGGGGGACCGAGGATGGGACCCCCCAGGCAGGAGAACGAGGCTGGAATGTATCAGGCGTCGTTCGTGAGGGTCCCGGCCTCGTCGTGGTCGGAGCTCAAGCAGAAGTGGAGGGAGGACAAGACCATTACCATTGACGATGAGGAGGACAAGGTGGATTGCAGCGAGGTGGAGCTCGTCGAGGAGAACATTCAGCCGTTGGTTGGGGCGAGACATGCTGGGAACGTTGGGGAGGTCTTCGAGAGACTGAGGATCATCAAAGCCGCGGGGGAGAGGACTGTCAGGAAGAAGAGGGGCGAGCACAGGATTTCTTACAAGGTCTTTGCCAATAACATGGCGCATTTCAGGAAGGCCAATCCAGGGACGCCCATGTTTCATGTCGTTGTGACGAGGTTTGTTTGGGTTTTAGGGGGGGTTATACTTGGAGATTGACTAAAGGGAGATTTTTCGTGGTTGTTATTAAATTCAGTTGTGAAATGGTTAAAATGGATTTGTCGACTCAAATTTGGGGCCGGGTTTTTGATGAATATCTCGGAATCCAAGGAGATGACGAAATTTTCATGGGGACCTTTATTGTAGATCTCACTCCGCTCTACAAAAAAGGTATTCACAAAAATTTCGCTGTCTCCCTTGGATTCCGAGATATTTTCAAAAAAACCCTTCGAGAAAAATTTTGTGAAACTAATGGCTTTAGAAATTCTTGAGGAATAATAACAGTAAGTGTCTGACATTTCTAGCTTAGTCTTTCTGTTTTTAATTATCACTGGAATTGTTACAGTTATCGCAAGCAGTTTCCACAACCAGTGGAGCTCAACAGGCTTCAACAGGATTGCAACAGTACGTCTGTCGTCTTCGCTGTTGTTTCAGACTCGTCCACTGTCTATCTGCAAACCGGAGTCATCTCGCTGCCAAATCTAGCCAATGAATATTAGTCAGGAGGCTTTCGTACTGTTTCCAATGTTGTTAATAAATGGAAAATCCCTGGAAGAAAACGTCTCGTTTTATTTCTTTGACTCCAGGTCCTTTCATTTTCTCTTCATCAATTGATGTAATAATATAGTAATAATTATTAATAATAACATTAATGAAATCTTTTTTTATTAAGCACAAACCTGATGGTTACACAGCTATATAAACAAAAATAGAAATAAAGAAAGAAAGTAGTGCACAGAAGATAGATTTGGTACGTTGTATTAATGAAATTTGTAATTATCTCAAGAGTGAAGGATTTTAGGGGAATGGGTCAAAGGACAATTTTTATAGATCAAAAAATTCCCTACAAGAAATATATTATGGCATTTTTCTCTAAAACGACTCGTTATTGAGATAATAAAAAAATTCTAATTGTCAAATCATTCATGTCCATGTTTTATCCCCTCCCCTTTCTTTCCATACTTCCTGTTACCTCCGCAAAAGGCGTGACAGGCACCCAAAACACCCCGGCGAGGGGATTATTAATTAATTTTCGTGTTTTTGTTGTTTTTATCAACAAAAAAAGATTTTTCAATTCGTGGATTATCAGTCTGAATGAGCTGCACGCAGTTGCAATAATGAATTGTTATGGAATAAGGGATATCTCGAGTGTCTGTGTTCACCTGAAGCCCTGCAAGATGTCAACAATAAACAACTCGTTGCATGTGTTTCGATAAGAACATTATTTCCAATGATTTATGAGTGAATTTGTGAATAATAGCAGCCATGACTGCTGCAGAACACTTTATCAGTTTAATTACGGTAGCGAGTGCTAAAAAATTGGCAACAGCTCTTGTTGCTTGCTTTGTTTTGTATCATGGGTTGATTCATCTTATTTATGGTATGCAAGTTATTCTTGATTGATTGATTAATTTATGAATCCCTGAGTTGAGTGATTAATTTGTGGGTGAGTCGTTAATGTCGAGGATTTTTCATTTTTTCAGGTAGTGATTCTTGCAAATGGTTGCTGGAGGAGGGAAGATACAAAGGGGACAAGGAATGGCAGCCCTATGGGTGCATGATGCATCACTACACCCAAACGTAAACAGAAAAATTAATGAATTAATTGATCAAGTAGTGAATTGAGAAAACGCAATGACTCTATTTTCTTTGAAGCTGCGTTTTTTGATAATATCTCGGAATCCAAGAGAGATAGCGAAATTTTGGTACCAACCTTTTTTGTGGAGCAGAGTGAGATCTACAATAAAGGTCTCCATGAAAATGGCTTCATCTCCCTTGGATTCCGAGATATTCATCGAAAACTCGGCCCTGAAGTTGAGTTGACAAATCCAGTTTTACCACTTGACAACTGAATTTAACAGCAAACTTGAAAAGTCTCCCTTTATTTAATGAATCAATTATTTGAACAGGGACAGCAGAAGATGTCTGAGGTATTTAGCCTTCATGGGCCACAAGAATCACTTTGTCTTCGCTGGAGACGAGAGAATTCGCCAGTTGTACAAATCATTTGTGCTGCAGTTCGTTGTCGATGGAAAGGGATCAGATCCATCAGATTATCCCCCAACGTCTGACTTGAATTTTCACGACGCCCAGTTGAGATTGAACGTCCAGTTTCTGTGGAGGCCGAGGTTGGACGTCTCAATGATCACGGATTTTCGAAATTGGATGGTGAGATTCAGCTGCATCCCATTAAAGCCATGAAATAAACTTCTCCCCTTCACTCAGACAGGCGAAGCACCAGCAATGATAGTGGCAGGCTGCGCAGCAGCCGACATTCTCTCCCACAACGCAAGCCACACTCGCCTGTACTCAGAATACAGCAATGGCCTCGTCCGCCTGGTCCAGCCGGCGGACGCCCTCGTCAAGCGAGGCTCGCAGTTCCTCTGGATGATGCAGGACCCAGTCCTCAAGGAGAATCTGCCAGCTCACCTCACTGGCCTCGACAACAAGCAGATCAATCTCTGCAACAAGGCTGCCTACGAAGTTCTGCTGCACAGTGGGGCTCATCTCTGGGAGAGCAGTAGACTGATCGGCCAAGGGGTCCTCGAACAGAGTCCCGATGGATTCCTAGCCAGCCCCTCCTCCCTCAGACACAAAATTCAGATTTTACTCAACACCCACTGCAACGACCACATGAATTTTGGGGATGGCACTTGCTGCAGCAGCCCAGAACCTGCCACCACTCTTCAGTTGGTCACCCTTGCTGCTATGGCTGTTTGGTATGTCAATTTATCAATTATAAGGCCCTGGTGTAGTATCTTTTGAATTGTTCAAGGGATCATTCCCCAAATAATAACAGAATAATAAATTTAAAAAATGTCATAATCCATTTATTTTCAAAGTTTATGATCAATCAATTCATTTGTCAATAGTGTTGTGACCGGCGGAAGCTACTGGCTATTCCGTAAAATATTCCACAGAACTGAGGTACTGTATTCCCGAGTGGTAACAGCAGAGGTGGAAGCAGCTGACGACAATAATGAGCCGGAAGGTCCCAAAGAAGAACCTCAAGCCAACGATTTCTACAGTTTGATCACATCCCTGGCTATTTTCTCGTGCATCCTCGGATATTTTTATCTGTGTGACAGGTATATCCCCACTAATTTCCTCAGTCGATGTGAATTAAACATTATTCAGACACTAAAGAAGTTATTTAGAATTAGACAATCCTCGAAATACTGAAAATTTCAGAACAAATTTCTTCATGAAGGAGAACAAATACTACAGTGAATTCAGCTTCTGGTTGCCACTGGGGTACATCCTCGCTTTGGGATTATTCTTCACTGAGGACTGTGAGAGGGGCCCCAGGGCTCTCAACCGCGAGCAGACGGACGAGTGGCGAGGGCTCATGCAGGCTGTTGTCCTGATATACCACGTCACTGGTGCCAGCAATGTTTTACCTATTTACATGCACCTGAGGCTGATAAATTCAGCTTATCTTTTTTTATCTGGGTATGGACACTTCTGCTACTTCTGGCAGACTGGAGATGTCTCATTAGTTCGTCTCACGAGGGTATTTATCCACTTATTGATCCACAATTGATGAAATTTGAGGAGTCAGTAACTAAATTAGATTTTGATGCCCCTCATAACTGGTTAATTATTTCGAGAATGAGTGTGTCTAGGACAAAATGCCAAAAAACGTTTTTTCTAGAGAATATTGTGCCCTTGAAAAATGATTTTATGACATTTTTTCCTAAAGTCACTCAATACCCAGATAATAGCCAATTGATGAGATGGTTTTTAGATTTTCTGATTGAACAAAAATTCTTTCTTCGTTAATTATTCAATTATATTGACAATGTGATTTTAGCGAAAAACAGCAAAATAATAATAAAAATAATGATTTTCTGTAGTCTCACGTTGTCCAAAAAAAATTCCAAGAGTATTTATCCGCAAATTCTATTTTTCTCAAAATCATCGAAGGAAAAGACAGTTGTCCCTCCACAAATCACTGAAATCTAGCTAATTAAATTAAACAACTACGTGTTTAATTCCATAACTCCAACCCAAGAATTATCATCCCATGACGAACGAAATTTGGTTACAGGTGCTCTTCAGACTGAACGCCCTCGCAGTTTTCCTGTGCTTCTGCATGAACCGACCATATCAATTCTACCACTTCGTGCCCCTCGTCTCCTTCTGGTTCTGGGTGGTTTATTTTCTCGCCTGGTTACCACCAAGAGTCTACTCAGGAAGTCTCACTGAGCATGGACCTCGTGCCCTGCTCTATCTGGCGCTGAAGCTCATAGGATTGGTCTCAGTGATCACTGTCCTCTACACGTCAGAGGTCTTCTTCGAGAAGGTCTTCGTGACTCGACCCTGGAAGGCACTCTTCGTCACCACTGACGACGACATCAGGGAGTGGTGGTCTCGGTGGAGAGTGGACAGGTACAGTGTGGCCTTCGGAGTTGCCTTCGGTGCTGCTCTCCTGGCCCTCCAGAGGATGGACCACATTCCAGGAAGTGCTCTGGCTCCACTAGTCGCCATTGTCTCTCTTGCTGCTTATACAACTCTTACGATACTCTGTGTGTCTGTTGCCGAGTGCGAGGAGATTCATTCTTATATTGTCTTCATACCGGTGAGTTGAGAAATGGTTGAATACTTTCTACTTCGACGTAGCGTTCATCGTTTAATAAAGAAAACTATTAAATTATTCAACTTCAATGAAGTCTATTCGACTTTTGTATTCGTATTCAGTGAATATCTCCGAATCTAAGGCAGATAGCAAAATTGTTGTTATCACCTTTTTTGTAGCTATCAAATCGCTCTACAAAAAAGGTTATTACAAAAATTTCAGTATCTCCCTTAGATTCGGAGATATTCCTCGAAAACTCAGCTAAGAGGGAAATGAATCTAAAAAATGTGCTCACATCGACAGCTTAATAACAGACAAGCGTAAGTTCTGAGTTCTCTGTGTGGTTGTATGTTATCAAGGTGTCGACATGCTTGTTTGACCCTCAAAAATTTCCTAAATTGGATTATACTGGAGAATATTCCGCTAGTTTCGTCTTCATTTCCGATGACTAAACATTATAAAAATCTTGAGAATAAAATTTTGGTGTTTTCCATGAAGATCGTTGGCTACATAATCCTGAGGAATTCCTCTCTGGCACTGCGAGGAAAATACTCAGTTCTACTAGCTGGACTTGGCAGAATAAGCCTAGAGACACTAGTGGGCCAGGGTCACGTGTGGCTGGCAGCCGATTCCCACGGGGTACTCGTGCTACTACCGAGGTTTCCAGTTCTCAATCTACTGGTTTCTTCGTTCATCTTCATATGCGCTAGTCACGAGGTAAGAACACTCTTCCTTCATCAATGGAGAGAATACCTTTCTCCTTTAAGGCCCGGGTGTAGTATCTTTCGAATGTTATCTGGATTTTTTTCACCTTTCGTAATCCAAAATTGTCAATTGAGCGGTACATCATGTAGAAATTTCCAAAAATTATGATAGAATGATAAAAAAAAATGGACAAAATTCTGAACTTTTTCAAAGAGCGTTTTTAGTGGAATCTTTTGGTGAAATGTTAATGATCAGACATTTATTCAATTTTTTTGTTTCAGATCCACAGGTTGACAGTCATTCTTGCACCCTATGCAGTGCCAAACGATTGGAAACTAGTGATGAGGAATTCTTTGCTGTTCCTTGCTGTGTTAGTTCCCATTGGAATTCACGATGGGATGATTTAGGACATTGGGGCCACAAAAAAGATAACAATAATTGATTAATTGTGTTAGCAGTGAATTGCAAGGAGATGATTCAACTGTACTTCAAGTTCGGGTTTTAATTGTAATTCTAATTTTCGCACAAGACTTTTTGTTATTTATTCTCGGGTTGTGAATATCGAGGGATGAGGGCTGTTAACTGAATGCTAAAGGAACTTAAGCTATTTTTAATTATCAACTCTAAAATAGAATTCGATTTTGAGAGCATCACCATGAGGTTTAGTGATATTTATCAAAAAATTATCTTGAAGTTTAGCTCCCTCATTCTGTTTTACTACTTGACAACTAATTTGAAATGTTGAAACCTCTTAGTCTCATGACTTCAATTTTTAGATATTTTTAGAATATTTTTTTCAATTGTAAGGCCGCATGAAAATGACACTACGACATCAGTCAATTTATAATAATTTCCTCATTTGTATTTATTGGTGATATGTATTTACAATTTATTTATAAAAAAAAGGTAAACTCATCTATTCCCGCCAGCAGGATCTGCACTTTACCAAAAATCCAAACTCTCTCGTTCAACTCAATTCATTTACAATAATGAATGAATAATTTCGGTCAATCCTTCGTCTTGTCCTTCTTCCCATGTTTCACCTGGCTCGTGTAAACATCGTACCCCAGGGAAATTGTATTGTCGTAAAGAACTCGATATCGAGTTGGTAAAAAGTAGAAGTTGAATATCTGGGCTGGTGGCCAGATAATCCACTCTGCTAAGTACAATTTGTGAAATTTTTCTCGCATCTCAGCTTTCAAATCCGGCCAGCTTGTGTTTTCTAGGATACCCAGGGTGACGAAGAACACACCGATGTACAGGGGTGAACATATCAACTGGTCCAAGACCAGTTTCTTCATTACAATGCCTATTGTTTTGCCTGGCATCCTGGCGTCGAGGTAGTTGTACCAGTGGTGGCAGATTATTCCCACTGTCATGCCGGATATCGCCATGTGCTGGGTTCGAAGGGGACTCCAGGCGTTCCATTCTCCCTGAAGATTAAAATCAAACGATTCAGGCTCTCCTTATGACAATCAGCGTTTAACAATTGACAAAATTTGAGAGGTCAGTAGTGAAATTATTTATATTCTGCCCTTCAAAGCTGTTTAGTTATTTCAAGAATGAGTGGGTCTAGGAGAAAATGTGAGAAGACATTTTTTGTGGAGAATTTGGTGGCCTAAAAATGAGACTTTATGACATTTTTTCGTAGAGTCGCTCGATACACAGATAGTAGCCAATTTGTAAAGTGGTGTTTAGACTTTTTCATTAAAAATTGAATTTGTTTCTTTATTAGAAAAAGGTTTATGACATTTTACCCATAGGTGCTTTGATACCTAGTAATAGATAATTGATAAGTTGATTTTTTCATTTTTTCCATTGAAACTGGAGTTTTGTTAATGGCAATTAGAACAAGTGAAAGACTTCAGCTATTGACGTTCAAAAATTGACAAAATTTTAGATGTCAGTAGTGGAATTATATACTGCCCTTCAAAGCTGCTTAATTATTTCAAGAATGAGTGGGTCTAGGAGAAAATGTGAGAAGACATTTTTTGTGGAGAATTTGGTGGCCTGAAAATAAGACTTTATGACATTTTTTCCTAAAATCACTCGATACCTAGATAATAGCCAATTGATGATACGGTTTTTTAGATTTTTTCATTAAAACTGAAATTCTCCATTCGTCAATTGTCAAATTATATTGAAAATGATTAGATTTAGAAGAAAATGCCAAAGGACATTTTTTCTCAATAACTCAGGATTGGCTGAGTGAAATTCCACATTTTTTTTTCATCTCAAAGGTGTTCTCTCAAGCTTGAAAATGACACCTGATTCACCTCAATCGCATCATTTGTCGCAAAGATATTGCTCATTCTCGACATTTCTATATTCTTTACCTTTAATATTTCGTAATGTTGCTCTAAAATATCCCCAGTAGCTGACAGGGACACCGATATCCCCACATTCGTGTAGAACAAATATTTTCTCGAGAATAGTTTCTCTTTAACAGCCCCAGCACGATGAAAGATGAGATTCAATCCTTTTGTGATATTCATTCTCTGCAATTGAAAAATTTATCGAAATTTGAGGTTAGAAAAATGTTCAACTGTGAATTACAAATTATTCTCCAGTTGTCGTTTAGAAAATCCACGAAAATCTCGTTAGCTGTGATCGTAAATCACTTCTGAGCCCTAAAAATGGTGAATAGACTGACGGAAATCGTAAATAAGGGGATGGACTCACCAGGTGGACAGAAACGATGCCGGTGCCTGGGACTGGATACCACAAAATCAGTCAGAAATTTTTGACACTTCACTGACCACACGGTCGCCCCCTCGACATTATGACATCAATAATTCACGAATGATCCCCTTCATTACATAAATTGAAAAAAATACATCTCGAAAATCTAAAAATAAGGGTCACATGTGAGGTTACGTCTCGTAATATCGTACCTCATGTGATGTGTATGTTTGGGGGGGGGGCGTTCATCCCCCCCCTATGTTATGTAAAAAATTGTTTACGAAAATTATCGTCAGATGTCGCAAAATATAATAATCATGATAACAAATGTCTCCCGGCAAAACAATGTGCGTGCCGTGACCGTTGGCGTTCTAAACAAACTGAAAGTGTTTTTAAACAACGAATACATCATTATTTAAACAATAAAGCAAACATTGGGGAGAGGTATGGCTATTTTCATGCTTTTGTGCTGAAGAATATGTAGGGGAGGTTGGGGTAAAACGGACACTTTTGACTTTTTTTCAAATGTTAATAAGGGGTTGAAATGTATATGAAATTTAATAATTTTTTTTTCCAATACAAAGAACAATTCTTTCCCTTTGTGATGAGCCTAAACTGAGCTCAATTGATAAATTTGTTTCTGAGTTATAAACAATTGAAAAAAAGTCGAAAGTGTCCATTTTACTCCATCCTCCCCTAGAATGGTGAAGGATGATCACCTGCAGATTAATTATTAATTCATGATTAATTAATGTATTAATTAATAATCAAGAGATATTGACAGATTTCGATTTAGATTAATTATTAATCGTTATTGCTGTCAAATCTGTTTATTTGGAGCAATTATTATGATAATGTGTTTTTAAATAATTAATTCACAATTATTTAACTAATAAAGAAAAAATATGGGAGTGGTGTGATAATTTTTATACACTCGTCGATAGTAAAGTCGCATGAAAATAGCAGTCTGTTGAAAAATAATTAATATTAATAATCACCATTAAATTGATTGTTAATTACTTTATTAATTAACAAATCAAAAGACCTTGGCAGATATTGCTTTAGATTAATTAACTATCCTTACAATTAATCATGTAAAATCTGTTCATCTGCAGCAGTTATTCTGTTGAACAGATTAATAAATATTGAATGACGACACAATGGCACCTGTAAAAGTCATCGTGCAGGGGATCCCCATGAAGACCGATAATCCCAACAGTCCTCAAGGCCAGGACAATGACGATAAAACCAAACTGGAGAAGTTGTTCTCAGTTTATGGCCCTGTCCAATGTCGATACTTGTGGTCGGATGCCTCCGCCTACGTTGCTTCATCCCCATTCAAGAGACAAAGAATGGTGAGGAATGAAAAAGCCCTGGACAATTTCGCTCACATTCTTTTTAAGAATCCTGAAGACGCTGCGAGGTGAGTTTAATTTTTTCGGGTGGGAATAAATGGTTATTGGCACGTGTCATCTGTTTTCAAGGGCTTGTGAGGCGGCTGGTAATCACCAGATCAAATTTGATGAGCACATTTTGACTTTGACTCCAGTATCTGGGTCGTTGGTATCGATTCAGGAGTTGGATGATCACTGTCTCATTAAGATATTTTCACTTCTCGAGACGAAACAGCGTTTGGAACTTGAAGAAGGTAATCGTCAGTGTTTTTGTCAGTTTGTTAACCCTAGATTGGTCACCCTATGAGGGAAACCGCCCGCCACGCGTCGTTTTTTAAAAATTAGAATTGACTGGCTAACCGGAAAAATAAAAAAGAATTGGCTTTGTCAGTTGAAGTGTCTCAAAAAATTGTAGTAGTTTTTAGAACAACATATTTCCCAAAATTCTTGAAGTAAACAAATTATTTTGGACAGACGAATTACTTTTTCCCATGTTAATAGTACATTCCGACACTAGGCCGTGAGCATTATTACTCTCATCTCATGACACTCGCATTATTAATCTCATTTTTCTTGCCAGTCTGCAAACGCTGGCAGAAAGTGGCAAAAGTCAGTTGGTCTGATGTCGAGGAACTTTCTCTGAAGTGGGTTGATCACACCGACGAGGACGTCGAAAAGTATCTCACCAGATGCGGAGAATACCTCAAGAAATTCGAGTGCAAGGTTGTCTCTCCAGTTGTTCGCAATTTAATTCTCAAACACTGCAAGCAAATGGAATCACTGGATTTGGAGATCAACTGGGAAATCGAGGGTGAGAATGCCTTGACCAGTATGTTCAAGGGTCTCAGGAAGTTGAAGAGCCTGACCCTTGATCACACCAGGCTCCTGGAGTTTCGTTTCCTCCAACGACTACCCAAATCCATGGAGCACATGAATTTCTTCTGCAGCAGTTCCTACAATCGTCCTTTCAGTTTTGTGAGTTTCACCTTCATTTTCATTATTCTCATTTATTTTTAAAAATTCGATTCTCCACTTTTCAGTGGCAGGAGACTATTCAGTACTGAAGTGGTAAAAGGAGATAAGTCAATTTTGACTACTGACCAGTTTTCAATCAATATCTCGGAATCTAAGGAAGACAGCAAAACTTTTTTTATAGCATTTTTTGTGCAGCAGATTGAGTGCTACAATAAATGTAATTATAGGAATTTCGCTATCTTCCTTAGATTCGGAAATATTCCTCAAAAACTCAGGAGCGTTTAGACATCTTTCGTATGAAAACAAGAATTTATGTATAGGAATAATTCGTATAGAAATATCCGAATATCATATACGGAAATTCTATAGAATTTTTATACGCAATCCGTATAGAAATTTTCTATACGATTTTTTCATACGTGTATGACCTCCAAAATTCTATTCCTGAGGAAAAATCGTGCGGAAATAGTATTTTTTATTTCTTTTTCTCGAAAAACCGAAAAGTTTTTTTTTTAATTTAGGACTTATGATTCTCACCGGTCGCATTGCTTTGTGCAATGAAAATGATCATAAACAGGACATAATGATACTAAATTTCGCTAGTCATGGTAAATTTTAATCAATCAATCCTGATATAACTTATTTAATTTATCAATCACCAGGACTTTCGCAAGTTTACAAATCTTAGAAGCCTCTCTCTGAGTGGATATGTCCTATATGGCCAAGAAATCCTGGGGATTGAGAACATGGAAAATCTGACTGAATTGGATTTTACCATGAGCAGCACTTATCGCTATTTGACCAGGAAATTCCAGTTTCTCACGAACCTGAAGGTCCTAAAAATTCCACAATCAGGAATTACTGACGACATCCTCATGAACATCATCAGGAACAATCCTGCACTTGAAGAGTTGGACATCAGTGGTAATGTTAAATTGATAATTGTCTTCTTTTCGATGTTTCCTTCAGGCTTAACTTATACTGTCCAATGAAAGCTTCGCAATCGCTTAGATTTAATGTCGTCTTCTTTTTAATTTTTTTTCTCGAAATTTTGAAGTGAAAAGAACAAAACAAAACTCAAATTTAAATTAATTTTTAAATATGATCTAAATTTCCTAATTTAATCTAAATAATAATTAAATTAGGCAATAGTAATAGTAATAGTATTTCCTAATTTGAATAGTTGAATGCGGCGAAACGCCTAATTTCTGGACGACTGGGCCATATTTTTTTTATTTATTAAATCTCCATCAATAGAAAAAATAATTGATCACATGATTATACACGAGTAATATTATGGAAAGGTGAAATAATCAGTACAATGCAAGTTGAAATTGTCCAGAAACTGACTCCCGTCCAGAAATTGACTAAATAAATTTTTGCGACAAGAATTTTTCATTCCGGCGCACTCTCCATATTTGCCAGAAAAAATCCTTTTTTGTTAATTTTCAAAAAACCATTTTCCTGGCACAAGTAAGACTTGTTTGAGAACTTTGTTTCTCTCTCAGTGTAGTACATTGTCCACTTGTTTAAATTTAATTTGCAGAGGCACGAGCTATAACAGATAGTTCAGTCCGTCTGGTGTCGATGCTTGAGCATCTCAAAGAGCTGAATGTATCAGTGACACGTGTGACCCTCACCTCCGTGGGCGCAATGCCATCACTGGAGTCCTTGAGCTGCCAGGAGTGTCGCAACTTGAGGGACCACACAGTTGGGAGATTGATCGAGCAAGCACCCAACCTGAGCCACTTGGATGTGGCTTTTACTTCAGTGACACCAGCTGTCTTTACTATCGCCAGTGAAGCCCTGAAGAAGAGGGCTAACTCTGTTTCCCTGGAATTAAGCACGGATTACAAGTGTGGGTTGTTGGACGGTGTTAAAGATCTGTCACCACTACTGCGCGTTGATTGGGACCAATGTCGTCATCGTTCCATTTACGGTGACAACAATTATTCTGTCAAACCTCTGAACGATGAATGCCCTGAGGGAGACGAGTATCTGGAGGAACCCAGTGAGAGCGATGAGGGCAGTTCCGATGAGAACGCAGACAGCTTTGATGATGATAGGGAGGATGAGGATGACTAAAACCACGAGGACATTTCAATTCAGTAGCGATGTGGTAAAATCGTTCAAGTCGACTCATCTTCCACTTGAGTTTTTGAGGAATATTTCCGAATCTAAGGCAGATAGCGACATTATCGTAATGACATTTATTGTAGCTCTCGATTGGCTCTACAAAAAAGTTCATTATAAAAATTTGGCTATCTCCCTTAGATTCCAAGATATTCATTGAAAACTGGCCAATAATCAAAATTGACTTGGACCGTTTCACCACTTCGCTACTGAATTCAACTCTTCATCATGTCAGTTCTCATCTGGATGAGGAGGATTTTTCGGGGCGAAGTGTTCAACATTTGCTTGTTATTTTCGAAGGTTTGCATTTTATTTTTGTCACGACAAAGTTCTGTTTATTATTCGTATTCTTTGTTTAGGGGTTTTAAATCATAATTTCAGCAAAATGTGCAGGTTGGTTGGGGTTTGAGAGACTTGGTTTCATAGTTTTGACCATTCTCAGAATAAAAAGCGAAGAATGGAGTTAGTTATGTAACACGACAATTTTTTTCTCAGGCGTTTAGACTGATTAATGCGTACGGCTTTACTTTAAAACCCGCATAGTTATCGTCTTCATTATATATTTATGGTTTGATGTTTGGTATTAACTATATTTTGTACCTGCGTGACTCTCGAAAAACCAAAATGTGTTATATAAACCTCAGGATAACTATGGAATAAAATAAAATTACTTTTTGATACACAAAACAAGAATTCCGTCATTCTTATAATATTCATCATTCCGAAACAACAAAAGTGAAATTGACTGATAGTTATTGCTTTCGAATGGAAGCTTGTCCCACGATAACTAAAAGAAAAAAGTTCGAATGGAGTGAATGATGACTTAAAAAATTTGTTTGGATGTCCTTCTGACTGAGTTGGAAGATGAAAGCAATCGCAATAATCGCTATTTTAAGTTATTTGAAAATTTCCAAAAATTTACTATTTTTTGAAAATGAGAATTCTAAGGATGGTGAGGTGTGTATAAATAAAATTTTTCTATCAACATTTTATCGAAGGGATAATAAGAAATATGATGAAAACATTCAACTAAGTTGAAAATTTGACACAATTACTTGAAAAGAAATGTTATTTAATGAAATAAAATGAGATAAACAATGATGTATACATGATAGAAGGAAATGATATGCGAATACAAGAGCGATTTATCACTTTTGGAAATGTAAGCACCACGTTATAAAAATTTGGTGGCCCTGAAAAGGGCCGATTGTTTTTGTGTTGTCCCAATTTACTTGGAACTTGTGTATTTAGTGACAGCTTTGGTACCTTCAGAGACAGCGTGTTTAGCCAACTCTCCGGGGAGGAGGAGACGAACAGCCGTCTGAATCTCCCGAGATGTGATGGTGGAACGTTTGTTGTAGTGAGCCAATCTCGAGGCTTCAGCGGCAATTCTTTCGAAGATGTCGTTGACGAATGAATTCATGATGCTCATGGCCTTGCTGGAAACTCCGGTATCAGGGTGAACTTGCTTCAAGACTTTGTAGATGTAGATAGCGTAGCTCTCCTTCCTCTTGCGCTTCTTCTTCTTGTCGGTCTTGGTGATGTTCTTCTGGGCCTTTCCAGCCTTCTTCACGGCTTTACCACTGGCTTTGGGCGGCATGATGCTTGGAGTACAATTGTTACAGACTGGAGAGTACCGTAAAAATGTGAGTGGCGTTAGAATCGTCGCTGACTTAGCAGCATCGGCGCACACGACGCCGAGCCAATCGGAGGAGCCGTGCGCGCGTCCATTCCGCTGCACTGTTCCCATTGGCTAGGTGGCGTGAGCGTACGAAGCTATAAAGAGGCGATTTTCGGGAGCTCAACTCATTCTCCATTGATTTCCCAGTGGCTCAACGTTTAATTAATTTTCTACAACATGTCTGGCCGTGGCAAAGGTGGAAAAGTAAAGGGAAAGTCCAAGACTCGCTCTACCAGGGCTGGTCTTCAGTTCCCAGTGGGTCGTATTCATCGTCTCCTGCGTAAAGGAAACTACGCAGAACGTGTTGGTGCTGGAGCTCCAGTTTACCTGGCTGCAGTTATGGAGTACTTGGCTGCTGAGGTTCTCGAGTTGGCAGGTAACGCCGCTCGTGACAACAAGAAGACCAGGATCATCCCTAGACATCTTCAGTTGGCCATCCGTAATGACGAGGAATTGAACAAACTACTCTCTGGAGTCACCATCGCTCAGGGTGGTGTCCTCCCCAACATCCAGGCTGTTCTCCTTCCCAAGAAGACCGAGAAGAGCAGCTCTTAAATTCATATCACCGTCATTTAAACAAAATCGGCCCTTTTCAGGGCCACCAATTATTTAAACGGAGAAAATTCTCATTTGTCAATTGCCGATATTCTTGATGACCATGTCACACGCTACTTGAAAGAACAAGTCAAATATTTTTATGATATTGCAAAGTATATTCTTCGACAATCGATATTTTTAAAATAAAAACAATGGCCATCCTTAGGAAACTCCCTCACTAATTACAAACGGTAATAAATTAATCGAAATTCTTCCCTATAGAAAATGAAAAATTTAGGAAAAATGAGTAATAATTGGTGGAGTTTATTTGCAACTCAGGTCACAAGGTCATGTGCAACATAGTCATTCTCTAGAGCAACATGATCGTCATAATTAAAAGCTAATTAGGCTGACTTGAGAATGACTCGATTGGAAAAATACGACTTTAAAAAAATACCAGTGATTATATCAGTAGTGAAGTGGTAAACCGGTATAAGTCGGTTTTAACTATTGTCCAGATTTCAATCAATATTTCAAAATCTAAGGGAAATAGCAAAACTTTCGTCATAACCTTTTTTGTAGAGCGAATTGAGAGCTACAAAAAAGGAAATTACAACAATTTCGCTATTTCCTTTAGATTTCAAGATATTTATTGAAAACTGGCCAATAGTCAAAATCGACTTATACCGGTTTACCACTTCGCTACTGATATTCTTCGACTCTATGATAATAATTGTAAAATTATATTAATTGACCTGGCGGTCATCAGCAAAAAATATCAAAGAACAATTTTTCGTGTCGAAGTTTCGATCTCCAATGGAGATCCTGTTCAGAAAACAATCTAATTTTTATTCATTTCCTGCAAAACAAATTGAGTGAGTATTGAAATTTCAATTGAGATCTTATTTTACAGGAAGTAAATGAAGATTAGGTTGTTGTTCTGAAGAGGATCTTCATCGGAAATTGAAACGTTGACAAGAAAAATTTGAGCATTGTTCTTTTTTGCTGATGAGCGTTTAATATATTAATATTAATTATTATTGATAATATAATATTAATATTGATATCAATACATTACAATATTAATCATTATTAATATATCAATATAATTAATATAATTTAACAACTTGAAAAAATAAATCCTTCAAATCAAATAAATGAATATCTGGTAAAATGTTTTTTTCAGTGCAGGAAATCGCAGTAATTCAACGTTAAAATATTTGGTGGCCCTGAAAAGGGCCGATTGTAATTTTTCCTTGTATTGAGCTTAACCTCCAAAACCGTAAAGAGTACGGCCTTGACGTTTCAGAGCATAGACAACGTCCATAGCCGTAACAGTCTTCCTCTTGGCGTGTTCTGTATAGGTAACAGCATCACGAATGACGTTCTCAAGGAAGACCTTGAGAACACCACGAGTCTCTTCGTAAATTAAACCAGAGATACGTTTCACTCCACCTCGACGAGCGAGACGACGGATTGCTGGTTTGGTGATCCCCTGGATGTTGTCACGAAGAACTTTACGATGACGCTTGGCTCCTCCTTTTCCCAATCCCTTTCCTCCCTTTCCGCGACCGCTCATATTGGCTCTTAACGATAGAATACGTTAAAACTGAAGTACAAAACGTTCAAGTGATGTTTGAAAATCGACAACACGGGCCTTTATACATCGCCACCACGGCGACTCCCCACTACCGCGAAATGAACCAATCACACAGCGACGACTGCTTTCCTCCACCGCTCCTGTCGCCACCAATGGGAGCGACCGTGGTGTTATAAATACGGAACCATCGCCCGGCAAATTACACAACTTCCGACGATCGCCTTGAGTTAAGTCTCATTGTGATTATTTAGTACAATGGCTCGTACCAAGCAGACTGCCCGTAAATCTACTGGAGGAAAGGCTCCACGGAAACAGTTGGCCACCAAAGCCGCTCGCAAGAGTGCGCCAGCAACTGGAGGAGTCAAGAAACCCCATCGCTACAGGCCAGGAACCGTAGCTCTTCGTGAGATCCGTCGTTACCAGAAGAGCACTGAGCTCCTCATCCGTAAACTTCCATTCCAACGACTTGTTCGTGAGATCGCCCAGGACTTCAAGACTGACTTGAGGTTCCAGAGTTCAGCTGTAATGGCTCTTCAAGAAGCCAGCGAGGCTTACCTCGTTGGTCTCTTCGAAGACACCAACCTCTGCGCCATCCACGCCAAGAGAGTGACCATCATGCCCAAGGACATCCAGCTGGCTCGTCGTATTCGTGGAGAGAGAGCTTAAGTTGTTTCAACTTAAAGTAAAATAAATCGGCCCTTTTCAGGGCCACCAATTGTTTTTACGTAGAATTCTCTGTTTCTCGGAAATTGTGAATCACATTATGAAGGAAGAAGTAATTTTTATTAATTTATGTTTAAAAGGAATTCCAGGAATTGTAATTATTAATTATGCTCTTAATAATTCGATTCGACATTATAAGATCTATGATTGTTAGGAGTTGATCTTGATAAGCAATTCCAGAAATTATAATTATGAATTATGCTCTAATCATTTTACGGGACATGAGATCATAATTATCAGTAATTTATGTTCATAAGGAATTTCAGAGATTGTGATCATGAATTATGCTCTTTTTAATTATTTGATTCGATATTGTGGGTAGATCCATAATTGTTATGAATTAATCTTGATGAGCAATTGCAGGAATTGTAGTCATAACTTATGCTCTTTTTTTCAATAATTTGTACTGTGGGAGGAGTAGCTTGTTATTACAAACTCTAAAATGTTCAGCGTCATTTAAGTATTATATTCATTTTTCTGAACGGGTTTTTTATTCCTATTCTTTCCACTTTGAACACAATTATTAATAGGTTCATAAGAATTTTCCGATCATGGTACTTTTTTGAATTAATTGGGCAACATAGATAATTATAATTATAAAAATTTAGAAAATGTCGTGCCTGGTCAGTAAACGATGCAATTCCAAAACTTCAGACGTTATGTTCAGAAATAATGAAAACTAGGCGAGAAACTAGGACGAAGTATTTTCATCAGTTACAAAATTCTTTTTTTTTTTTTTTCGATAATTGGATCATGTTTAATGAAATTTTCATAATTGACATGAGATATTTCATCGCTCCATCATGAATTTTCTATTAATTATAATCGAACAACTGAAGAATCCTGAAAATGATGAAATGTCGTCACTTAAAGTTCAATATGAATGTCGTTGTCATGACGATTGCATGCCACGATTAATGCCCATCAGACATAAATCACTGTCAACTTTATCATTCATTTCGCTCAAATTATTGGTTCACACTTCAGAGCCCAACGATCCTATAACTATTTTATGAAATTCCAACTCTATACTTAACAGAAATCTCCAGGAAGGAAAACAATGACCTTGAAGGATCAAAAATTTCAAAAATTCCAGGAATACTCCCGTTGCATCCTAAACCTTTCAAATGCTTCAAGAGAACCCCAGAGTCACACCTGACAATTCCAATAAAAATATGAATCAACAATTTCAGATTATTCTACAGTTGCATTTTTATTGCCGAACGTCATTGCTAACCTGATCTACTCTCCCAACTTTCGGCCCCACATTAACCCAACTATCATCAATTACCCCAACATCTCTAATTTTTTTCACGTCAATTGAAGTTCAAACTACTTTATCAACACGATTTTTCCCTAAATTAATAACAATTGTCAATGTTATAACAGTTTAAACAGAAGGTAGACCTCAAATGTCAGAGTATGGGTCTCAAAAACTCCGAATTCTCCCAAACTTCCAAGTGAATAATCACCTATAAACCCATCTAATTTGCGTAATTGAACCTTCATCACTGTTAATCAACGAAAAAAAATGAAAAAAATCGGGAAGAACAGTGCAAAAATCGCAAGAATGTTGAGAGCAATCCAAGCCCCGATCGTCGATTCAAACGGTCGCTGCGGCGGCGCCTCTCTCCACGGTCCGCGCTCGCTTTTTTAGAGGATCCCCGTTAATCCCTGAAACCATTCGAAAGAACGACTCTAAGGAGAATATTCAGAACTCGATAGAACCCCAACTTAAAACATTGACGAGAAGATGGCAGACGTCTCCGAATCTGTAGTTGCCGTTCCGGCTCAGGATGCTCCTGCGAAGGTCTCTGTGAAGAAGGCGCCGAAGGCTAAGAGCTCCAAGGCCAAGCCGAGTCATCCAAGCACCGCGGAGATGGTGAACGTTGCCATCGAGGAGTTGGCGGAGCGCAATGGATCATCACTCCAGGCGATCAAGAAGTACTTGGCCGCTAACTACAAACTTGACACTGATAAGCACGCTCCATTCATCAAGAGATACTTGAAATCAGCGGTGAGTTCTGAAACTCTGGTGCAGACCAAGGGAAAGGGCGCCTCAGGATCTTTCAAGCTCGCTGTCAAGAAGCCCGAGGCATCAAAGTCTAGGCCCAGACCTAAGGAGGCATCACCCAAGAAGGTTGTGAAGAAGTCTGCGGCGAAGAAGGGAGCGGCTCCCAAGGCCAGGGCAGCTTCTCCGAAGAAAGTTGTAGCGAAGAAGCCCGTTGGCGAGAAGAAGGCGGCGAAACCTAAGGCTGAGAAGACTAAACCCAAGAGCCCGTCTAAGGTTAAGAAGGTCACTAAGGGACCAACTGCCAAGCCTAAGGTCCCAAAGCCCAAGAAGGCCACTGCTCCCAAGGCTAAGACTGCTGCCAAGAAATCTGCTGCTCAGAAAAAGTGAATCCCTTGTTCAGTTTAATGGACGTTCATCACTACGACAAAACAATCGGCCCTTTTCAGGGCCAACAATTTTTTTAAAACGTAGAAAATTTAATAGCTATTGGTTGATAGGATTCAAACGTTTTGTTGGTACTTTTTAAAATTTTGAGATTTTTTTGAAATTAGGTATCGATGATATCAAGTCTTTGTTCATTTGGTGCAGACCATTTTCAGTTATCAAATTTATCAAAATTTTCGAATTTATTAGGTTTTTCTGCGAAATTTGTTCGGGCGGGTATTTCTTCTGTAGATATTGTCATAACGATACCATTCAGTAAAAATATTTCAAGAAAGAAATGACTCACTTAACGTAGAAATCAATACGACGAAATGTTGAAATTTTTCATATATTTGAATAATAATATTACAAATATCGATTTTATTAACAATAATTACCCTCTCACATCACATCTTGTTCCGGAGAAGAAGGTTGTGGTTTTGAAGTGATACATTTAAAACAGAACATGCATAATTTTTAAATAAGATTAATTAAATTTGAAATCTTAGCGATATGTAGTACCTCGTCATTCATTACAGAAATCATTACAAAATCATTATAAAAAATGTTTCTTTATGCAAATCCATGTTTCATTTCGTCAAATTATTCTTGCAACAATCATGCATATTTCTATTCTCATCACTTCCAATTATTTTCAGTTATGAGGAAGGCAATATACCACAGATTGGTGACATGATAAAGCTATTGAAGCGGGATCCCAACCCTTTAAAATTCCATGAAAAAGCTGTTGCTCCTCTTGACGTTCTCCTTCTTGTCTACATCTCCACCATCTGACCTCTTTCTCTTGTTCGCAGTCTCCGAGTAGTTATCAACATCCATGTCAACAGCAGGATGAGTATCAACAGCGACCTGAGTATCAACAACACCATCAAGCTCATCATCCTCGATAAAAGTGTCGAGTGCCTGCCAAAAATCTTTGGCAGAATGAAACGTCTGTTCTTCAGATGACTTCTTCGCTGAAGTTGTTGCTACAGGCGGCATTATGATATCGAACGTCTCAGCCTCGGCATTCACAATTTCCGGGTCGAACAGGTGCATTTCAGGTTGACCGTCATGAAGGGGAAAATCCAGAAGTCTTGAAAGTTCATCAGCTGCTGGGGAACTGCCACTAGTTGATGTCAACGGAGATTCTTCAACGGATGAACCTGCTAGAGATGCATCAACAGGTGGAGTAGTTGGAGATCCATCAGCGAAGGATTTGTCTGGAGATGCCTCAGTGAATGAAGCCACTGAATAGTTAGCAGTAGTTGGACCAGTTGGGGATGTCTCAATTAATGAAGCCACTGAATAGTTATCAGCAGTCACACCAGTTGGAGATGCCTCAGTGAATGCAGCCACTGAATAGTTATCAGCAGTCACACCAGTTGGAGATGCCTCGATGAATGAAGCCACTGCATAGTTACCACCAGTTGGGCCAATTGGAGATGCCTCAACAGGTGGAACAGTTGGAGACCCATCAGAGGATTTATCTGTAGACACCTCAGTGAATGCAGCCACTGAATAGTTATCAGAAGTTGCGCCAGTTGGAGATGCCTCAACGAATGAAGCCACTGAATAGTTACCACCAGTTGGATCACTAGAAAACGCTTCAACAGGTGAAGCAGTTGGAGACCCATCATCAGGGGATTTGGCTGAAGACACTTCGATGAATGCAGCCGCTGAATAGTTATCAGCAGCTGTAGTAGTGGCAGATCCATCAGCGAAGGACTTGGCTGGAGACACCTCAACAGTGACTCCACTTGAAGATGACTTAACAGATGAAGCAGTTGGAGAGCCATCAACGAATGAAGCCCCTGAGGCTGGAGATGCCTCGGTGGATGAAGCCCCTGAGGCTGGAGATACCTCAGTGAATGAAGCCCCTGAGTCTGGAGATGGTTCAGTGAATGGAGTCCCTGAACGTTTATCAACAGCTGGAGCACGTGTAGATGCAACAACAGGTGCAACACTCGCAGACGTATGAACCGTCGAACTCCCTTCAGACTGAGCAACTGTCGGCGTCGCTGAAGGTCCCTCAACCTCTGAACGCTCTGAAGACTCCGGCGTTAGTACTCTGAAAATCGGCCAGGCTGGATCGATCTTACGAATACTGCAGTCCAACTCGTACATAACATTATCTGCGAAAAAATCCCGCCAGGACTTGCGAAGGGTGAACAACTGTTTTCTTGTGTTCGTGTCGGCAGTCGTGAACACTAGGGTGAACGTCCCCACCAAGTGCTCGGAGAACAGGGGGATGTACGACCGGCCCGACTTCTTGGCCATGGAGTCGAGGAGGTAGATAGCTAGGACCTTCAAATTCGGAGGCGCTGAGTTGATGTGCAGGACGAGACCCTCAACGAGCTCTGCCGCATAGTAATCCACTAGGTTCTTTGCTATTTCCGTTAAGGCCGTGATTTCCCAGGGGTCGGAGGTCTTCAGCCACTGGAGGCACGACTGGAACTCTTCGACTATATCCGGATCCTTCACTGGTGCCATTATTTCTGCGGATAATTCCACAGTTTTAGATTTTTTTTCATTTTTTGGTTGATTTGTTTATATTTGATGCCGAATAATTCCAGTTTTATATTTGTTAAGATTTTTTGTTTGATTTGTTTATATTTGATGCTGAATAATTTCAGTTTTATATTTGTTTAGATTTTTTTGTTGATTTGTTTATACTTATTGGGTGATTTTTTCATATTTAATGCCAAATAATTCCAGTTTTAGATTTGTTTATATTCATTGTTTGATTTGTTTATATTTCATGATGGATAATTCCACAATTTTATATTTGTTTATATGTTTTGTATGATTTGTTTATATTTAATGCAGGATAATGCAACAATTTTGGATTATATTGTAAATATAATAGATTATGGGCAATGAAAGTGTCGGATAATTCAATAGTTTTAGATTCGCTTATATTTTGTCATCAATCAGGATATTGATTTGTTAATGATTGTCTTCTTACCTTGTACTCCGAAGCTTGGATGATATGAACTGAAGAGATTTATTTTAGTTTGATAACAGACTGGACTCTTCTGACCTTCACGACCTTCAGCACTCGATGGTTCGATTGGGATGATCGCAATTGCGAATTTTCATACTATTTATAGGTGACAGAGCGAAGGATTTGGCGGAATGTTATTGGTTTGGAAAAATCCACCAATTGCGGTGGGGGTTACTGATTTTGGGGTGTGCGTGGGGGGCTAATTGACCAGCCCATCATTGCATTTCGTACTCAATCGAAGAATTGTCGTCCACCACTTGTCAGCGCCAGGAGAGGGGGGGCCGCTGGGACCGCATGGACCGCAGGGAGGGGTAACTGACCCAGTTTACATTTCCAGGGGCCGAATAGAGGGGCTCATGACTAGAGATGACCGGGAAAATCGGAAAATTGAGGGAAGGAGGGAGAAATCGACATGATTGAAAATTCTGGAATGCATCGTATTTTCGGAAATCTTTCTTTATGGCGTGCAGAATGATCGATAGAAATATTTAATTGTGCAATGATTAATAAATTATAATGTTGCAAGAGATTCTTGCGTTTTGCGGCATTAGCACCTATTCAAAGTTTTTTTCTATGTTTTTGTTTTTATTTTTTTTCTATGTCTTTGAGGCCGTCCAATTTCCAAGTTTCACGAGCCGTTATCCCTTTCAATCGGGACATTTTGTTTATTAGAAGATAGATAATATAGAAAAAAAAACTGGCCGTTGTCAAGTGTCCATACACACAGAAAAACCTAAACGTAAATTACGTTTATCAAAAATACGAAAAAAATTATCGTAATTTACGAATACGAGGTAGCAAATTACGTCTGTGTAATCATATTTTAAGACAATTTGAACTTAATTTACGCTTCAACTTCAAGCGTAAAATACGCTTGAGAAAGCGTAAAAGATGACTTTTTAAACGTAATTTACGTTTAGGTTTTTCTCTGTGCATTCCGAAGGAAAATCTATAAACTGTTCTATATTAAATATAATTAAAGATGCAAATGCGGCGCATGACAGTCATGCGACCGTCAACTGACGAGACGTTTATGCTGGCGTCATAATTCTTCTCTCGCCTCTAGATTACCGTAATTCGGTATTTTCACAGTATTTACAGGTGACAGGGCGAGGGATTAGGCGGGATTTTATTGGTTTCGAAAAGTCAAACAATTACGGCGCGTGTTAAGGATTTCTGGTGGCGTGGAAGGCTCAAGCGGACATTCCATCATTGCGCTTCATATAATGAAAAGGTAGTCGCCCGGCACTTGTCGGCGCCAGGGAGGCGGGGGCTCACTGAGACAGCAGGGAGAGGTAGGGTAATATGGCCAAAAAACTCGAATTTTGAGTCAGTTTTTGGGTCCTATCTCCAGTTCTAATTGTCCTATCTCATTTTTCTCTCCTGGAGATTGAAGCTGAGTTCATTCCCCACAACTTTTGTTGTGGTCAAATTCATTTTTGACGGAAATTTACGGAAATAGGACCCAAAAACTGACTAAAAACACACACACACACCCACACACACATACAGACATCATGTTGAAAATGGCCTAAAATGCTTGTGGGGAGCTCGAAACGTGAAGATATGATGAAAATTCGATTTTCGATTTTTGGGGAGATTACAATAACTTCCCTAACCCGGGAAGTTAAAAATCAACATTATTTGGCTTTAACCCCTTCACCCCCTCCTCCTTCCGCCATTCACACCGGAAATTAAAAAAAAATAACAAAAAAATAATTCAACATTATTTGACTTTTACCCCTTCGCCCCCCTACCCCTCTCCCGGCCGCCCCAAAAATAAGGATTTTCTAAAAAATACAATATTCTGTAACTCTAACTCTTCCATCGCCCCCCCTCTGCTCCGCCGATTCAAAAATTGATTAAAAAAAATTAATATTATTTTGCTCTAACCCCTTCGCCCCCTCCCCCCGTCGCTCCGAAAATGAAAAAAAAAAAATTAAATATTATTTTGCCCTAACCCCTTCGCCCCCTGCCCCTCACCCCGTCGTTCCGAAAATG